TATGATTTACGTTTAAAATTTTAATGACAGTTACCAAAGTGACCCCCAAAAGGTTATACAACCTCACATTCCTGTCATTAGTGAATGAGAAACCCCATTTGTTCATATTCTCACAAATGCTAAATATTAGCAGTCGTTATAATTTTGATCAAATTAGTAAGTGAAAAATGGTATCTCATGTCCTAAACTTTCACTGTTTTTAATGGGTGAGATTGAGCATCCTTTCCTATGTTTAGATGTCATTTGTATTTTTTCTCTAAACTGTATATTAAAACTTTTGCTTGTGTTCCCATTGAGTTGTGCAAAGTTTTCATACTGATTTTTAGGAGCTGTTTTTATATGCATAGCATAAATCTTCTGCCTTATATATGTATAACATTGATTAATTGATCAGTTGTGAGTTTTTGTAATGGATACAGAGGTCAAAGAGACCCTAAGAGGGAAAAACTGACTTTCTTCTCAAAGTGTAAATATGTATATAACACAAGAAATAAAATATGTTAATAAATAAACAGATTTGCTGTAGTACAAAGCTCCTTTATTTACTCCTCTGCTGAACTATAAGCTCCAAGAAGAGAGTGGTTTGTTTTTTGTTTTCCCTCCTATTCATTGCTATATCCCTAATACCTAAAATAGTGCATGGCACAGAAGAGCTCAATAAATGCTTGCTCAAATAAAGAAGTAGGATGACAAAGAGGATGACAAAAAAAGAGTAGAATCTAGGCAGATACCCCTGAAAGAGTGTCTGTGAGTCATTCACATCTTAGTATGAAGTGGTTGAATCCAACTATTTCTCCTCGTTCCCCCTGCTACTAGTGGAATCAATTTATTGAGGGAGTATAACTTATAATTTGGAATAAGTGAAGGACAAAAGAGGAGCTTTTTGAAGGATGGCACCTGGGGGACCACTGGCATGGTTGGGATAATGATTTGGAAGTGGCAGAGATAACTATTTTGCATTGTTAAAGGGTAGGATGAAAGTATTCAGCTGTTAGGAAGAAAAAAAGGCATTGATGTGTAGGAAATATTCAGGTCAGATTCTCCTTGCCTTGAAATTTTGTATAAGGCAGTTTGGATTTCTTGATATGTTACACTATAGAGAAAACATAAAATAGTTGAGAGGATTTTGGTGTAATATTTTATTCTTGGCTTCATTTTAGTGTACAAGTTTTTTTCAGGCCTTGTAATTAAACTTACAAATTCTCAAGATAGTACCTTTTTTTTTTCATTTGGCTTTATATGGCTATGATATATTAAGTGACGGTATTGAATTTCTAAAATTCCATGCTGAATTTCAACACTTAGAAATCAGTCATTGTCTGGTTATCTGAAGACTATTTCAGTATGAACTGCCAAGCCCCATAATGTTTGGGTATTAAATTATTGAGTAAAGCAGTTTCCTTTTTGTGTTTTCCATAATTAGGTCATTCCAGAAAAATGAGGATATATAGTGTTTTTACATTCATGGCTTACTGTTGTTTGCTGAAAGGTAAGACACCAGATCCTTTCATTAGGTTTTGTATTTTAAATATTTTAACTATAAAATAAAAACAAACAATAAAAATGGATGTAATTTTTTATAGAGAGGACATTCTATTTTTCCTTCATTATAATTCAAAAACATTTCATAAGCCCATTTCACTGGACAAAGATATAGAATGTATGGACACACTGAAAGAAACAAAATTAACCCATATCCTTTTGTCCATTACTCACTATCCATTATCCATTTCCCAAGGATAATTACTGAAAATATCTGGGGAAATGACCTAAGAGTATACTTTTACATGTTTGTTTTAAGCAGGGGCAGGATCATTCTATCCACCTTACTCTATGACCTGCTTTTCCCAATGAGTATATCCTAAGGAAGAATTATAGTATATACAGAGCATCAGGATAACACAGTACTGGCATCATCCTGAGACCCTCCCTAAATCTCCGTTTTCATGTACCTCCAGCCAGACAACTGATTAAGAGTTTAGGACAGTAAAAAGCCAGGACTACTGGAATCTATGATGTAGACTATGTAAAAAGCAAATAGGTGTCTAGTCAAATGACATTCTGGGGTTGTCCAAAGTCTCCCTGGTTATAAGTACCCTTATAATATATATTGTTCTATAGTATAATACTGTAATAGTTCTATAGTAATATGTGTTTATGAATTTGGGGACAACTTGTTTAGCTAGTTCTATTATTCTAACTAGCATCCTAAAATATGTCTTAAGTCCACTGAGTAAAATACTTATTTCAGGCAAGTAGGTCCTTAAATGCAGTTATCACGTCAGTGACCAAATAAAGCGTTTATAAACCCTGCGCTCATTTTATAAATTTTTTGAGGAATTTGCCATCTTCTGAAGATTGGTCATCTTTCTTTTCAGCATTTACTATCACAGTTCCCAAGGACCTGTATGTGGTAGAGTATGGCAGCAATGTGACAATGGAATGCAAATTTCCAGTAGACAAGCAATTAAACCTGTTGGCATTAGTTGTTTACTGGGAAATGGAGGATAAGAAAATTATTCAATTTGTGAATGGGGAGGAAGACCTGAATGTTCAGCACAGTAGCTACAGCCAGAGGGCCCAGCTGTTGAAGGACCAGCTCTTCTTGGGAAAGGCCGCACTTCAGATCACAGATGTGAAATTGCAGGATGCAGGTGTTTACTGCTGCTTGATCAGCTATGGAGGTGCCGACTACAAGCGGATTACTTTGAAAGTCAATGGTAAGACTTACTATAGTTAAAGAGGCACAGCCTTTATTAAAACCACATTCCAATGTTGAGAGCTTTTCATTCCTGGAAGTCCAGACTTCTCACAGCAGCAGTCTCTTCATTCACTCATTCACACAACCGTCCAATGAGCATTGCTTGAGCACATCCTGTTTGACAGTCCCTGGAATTCCCCAGGCAAGCCTGACAGAGCCATGTTTCATGTTATGTTCAGTTTTCCTAAAAATAAATTCCTAGTCTTTACTTTATTATTATAAAAGTAATACATATACTTGCAAATAATTCAGATACCATGGAAGGGAATAAAATAAACCACCAAAGTGTCTCTTCTTCTTTCACTACTATCTTCCATGGCATTAAAAGATAATAATCTCTCTTTGTGTGTACTTCCAGGAATTTTTAAATGCAATACGCATTTTTTAAATTTATGAGATCTGCCAGCATTTTCTTTCCTTTAAATCTCTCTATGTCAAACCCAAATAAATATATTAAAAGCAAACCTCATTGTAAAGTTCACATGCAAAAAGACTTGAAGTCAATCTGTGAAGTCAAAAGAAAAAAATCATGTCAAGTATTGAATAAACTCTTCTTCCTCAGATAGTATAAATTATGCTCACTGGGCACACGTTCATCTTAAAAATCTATACCAATGTTACCTTGGAGTGTTGAAGAGAAACTGTGAGTGTCAAATTCATGGGTACTGACCTATGAATATGACATCAGGTCACCTGGGTTCATAGTTTGGGGTTGTCTCTAGCTAAATAAAGGAAAACACCCTAGCTAACTACCTTTGCTTTCACTGTTAAGGTTTATAGAATTGAGGGCTCAAAGGATCCAAGGCAAAAGCAGTTAATACAAATGTCCAAAGAACAGAAATTCCTCCAAAGGATCTTCTGCTCACATAGTAATAGTGATACTCTTGTCATTTGGACCTCCCTTCCACAGTCTATTGAAATCTCTTTCTGATATTGAACTGAAGTTTATCCTCTCAAGTTAAAGTTTTGAGATTATCTGCCTGCTTCTTTTGTTTACATGATGACCTTTTAATATGTGACTAAAATTAAATCTCAGTCCTCAGTCTTTCTATTCCTGGCCTAAGTACCATCAATCTGAAGGTCAGTAATATAAGTAGAAAAGTTTATGTTTATCATAGAGGGATAACTAATAATTATAAACTCAAAATCAAAATTATATAGGGAGTAGGTGAAATGCATCTACTTTATGGTACATTGCTGTATCTCTAATTCTAGCTCAATGTTTCTGTTGTCAAAAAAAATATCACTTGTCTTGTGGCATAGATTTAATTTTAATTGTATCTTACTGTGTGCTTCTCTAGAACAGATATTTATGAAAGCAAGCTGCTGGGATCCCAGGTAGGGATTTTCAACTTTTCTTCAGTCCATCAGCAAACATCAAAGCATACTTCGTTTCAGGACATTAAAGAAATTATCAAGATTTAGCTCCATGAACAGTCAGCATTGCTGGATCTCAGGTGGGGAGGAAGAGCATAAGTCTGGCAGTCAGATAGAAGGAAATATAGTGTGTGATTTCCTGCTTCCACAAAGAGTCTCTCCTCAGCCTTTAGGGAGTATGTAGAGAGTGGGACAGCTGTCCCTGCAGTGAGAAAGGGTGTTCTTCTAGGTTATCTGGGATCTGTAACGTTGCTTATGGATTTGTAATTTCTTTTGCTATGGTTTGACACAATAGGAACTCTTTTGGCATTGATGGTTTTTCCAAGGACAGGTCTTTGATAGAACAAAGGAAATGACCAACCGGATTTGAGGATGTGATTTGTTTGACGATTCCATTTTGTATTAAAAATTACTAAATTGGCATCCTGGTCCCAGTACATCTAGTTGTCATTTGCACACAGTAGTCTTGAAGGTTGAAATGCACTGAAAGCAAGATAGCCACCAAGTTTCAACTGCATTGAGGCAGTGTCACCAAAGAAGTTTGGTGACCATCTTGCATGAGCTTTACAACTCAAGAAGTAGAACTCCTGAGTCACCTCCACATGCAAATAATTTCACAGTAACGCCAGCAGGCTTCTCTTCCCATCACTGCAAACATTTGGTAACACAGCTTCCCCACAGGGAGTTTACTCACCATGGGATTTCAAAGGTGAAACATTTCGAAACTGAAATTTGAAAGCATTTAGTTTTAGATTAACTCAATTATTATAATTACTTTGGGTATTATTGCATCTTTAATGATTGTTTAAATTCCAGACACTCAGGCATCAGACTTTGAGTTGAATTTTTTTCCTTAAACATTGAAACTAATAGGGAAAATGAAATGAGCATTTATACTTTCAATAACTTAAATGGAATTAGGCAACTGAAAGAACAAAGTATGTGTAGTTATCCTATTAAAGCTAATGTGTTCATTGGACCAAGGATTAACCACTATCATTTCTGACCAAGCCCATCTCTCCCCCAAATTCATCAACCAGCCCTGTTTAAGTTTTTCCTGTAACATTTATCCTCATCTAATATGTCATATATATATACCTATATATTTCATTATCTCTCTCCTTCTAGAATATATAGTCCACAAACACAGAGATTTTGTCGTTTTGTTCATTGCTATATCCTTGGGACTTGGCATATGAGAGTAGTAGTGTCACAATAAATCACAAAAAATATTTGTTGAATGAATGCAATGAATGAATGAATGACATATTTCCTCAAATAGGATAAGCCTAAAATTTTTGAAACATGTATACATGAAAATTTATTTCTAAGACTGTTCATCAGGAGCTGTCAGTACTTTCTAAAGAATGCCACGTGAGCGCATTTAAATGGTAATACTCAGAAGAAGAGCAGCTCTAGCAGTAGTAGCCGTGGTAATGAACACTTAGGTCGTGCTTACATGCCAGGCCCTGTCCTAAGCAGTTTGCCTTTATTATCTCATTTAATCCTCAAATGACTCTGTGGAGTAGGGGCTTTATCAGGTCATGTTTTTCACATTTTACTATCCTTGAAATCTGAGTGTGTCTTTCAGTAGGTGGAATTTTAGATACAATGATATGTAGTGTTATTCTTCTCATTTTATGAATGAGGAAAGTGAGATCCAAAGAAATTAAGTTATTTGCAAAGTTCATTCTCCTGTCAAATGATGAAACCAGGTGCTAAACTCAAGCAATCTGGCTCTGAAGTCTGTGCCCTTAACAACTAGGTTTTATTTGCTGTATTTGTACCTCCAGAGTATATATTGAGTGGTACATTGACTTCAGAATTACTTTTCAGCTTTTTGTGGTCTTGATAGAACAGTTGCATTAGCACATATGTATGCTAGATCTAGTAAACCAGGAGTCTGCAAATGTTTTTGATTACCTACCCCATCAGTACAGCATGTTAAAACTGACGTGTGTATGTGTGTATGTGTGTGTTTATAAAGAATATACTTGTGCTAATATATAGGGTTATATCATAAGAAATTGGTATTTTTAAAAGGTAAAAGAAATTGAACATCATCAATTTCATATACTTCAACCTAATATATTGTACATTTTATAAATGTACAAAAATAGACATTTTAAAAGATAAAATGAAAATTTAATAAACAATATTTTCAATGTCTTACTAATTATGATGGTTCACTATCATTAGCTAATATATCAAGGCATAATATACCTTAGGTGAAATTCTCTTAACAAAGGGTCTTGACAATCTTGAGATTTTTTTAACCAATATCTTATCAGTCCCAATTAGGTACCTACTGTCTTACTTCATAAAGTTGTGTTTACCACACTCCTGTCACTTCCTTTTGGTTTGTATTTGAATTATTGGTAATATCTTCAATCCTCTGTTTCTTTGTGGGAAAATTTAAAATTAGTTTTAAATTACTTTAATATTTAAATTAATTCATTACTAATAATTGATTAATTAAAAGTAATTAAGTTTAAGTGTTCATTTTGTAAGCAGGCTAGTTTAGTTAAAATTAAATGAGAGAATCTGAAAATCTATAATATTCCCAAACAAGTCACTGTTCCCCCTTTGGTGTTAGAAAACTCCCCTATTTTTGTAAGACCCACATATGGCACACAAAGTGAGACCCAGTGTCAATCAGTCGAGTTTATTAAGCTTAGACTATTAATTTTTATGATAAAAATAAATATTAGTGGAGGTTCTAATACTTTCTTGTTATATCCCAATACCTGTGCCCCACTTGAGACACTAATAAAATGGGTATTTAATTAGTGAGTAGAATGAATTCACTAATATATTGGGCCCTTAGAGGTAAGCCACATTTATACATATGCTCAGGCATGAAACAACATTCTCCTTTATTCTTATTTCTTTAAAAAATGATAACAGAAGAGTAAAAAATCAAATATTTTACCCTCAAAGTTTACTACTAACTGATTCTACGCTTGGAATTTTAATTGTCTAGAAATCAAGCTATGTAGTATAAGAACCTGTTATAGTAATATTATTTCATAAGGTATAATCAGTGGATTCGTTTTTTTTAAAAGATTCTTAAACATAACAGATACAAGGTTGAAGACTCAAGTTCCCATGAGAACCATTATTTATGTGGTTTGAAATTGTGATTATGTTGATTTCCAATGTTTCCATTGGTGGTTTCATTGATTTAAGAGCACAGAAACATCACATCATTATTTCAGTTTTGTTTGATCGTGACTGTTTTGTATTAAATCTCTAAAGATATCATATCACAAAACCATTGTTGTGTCTTTGGTAAAAGAGTGGAGAATTAAGGCTCTAGGTGGACCACTAGTGATTACCCTAAAATATTAAGAGTAAAATAAAGGTTATACCAACAGAATAATAACATGTTCACATACTTGTAATGAATAAACATGAATAAAGTTCAATAGTCAGTACATTGGATATCTCAATCCTAAAAGGATCCCAAGCTAATGGTCTAAAATTAATTAAAATTTCTTCCTCGAGTATACTTAAATGATATATTAAAATAACCAGCATAAAAACTTTAAAAAGTAAGTATCTAACATGGTATTCTAGATGAGATCTTAAAACAGAAAAAGGACATTATGGAAAAACTAGTGAAATGGAACAAAGTGTGAAGTTTAGCTAATAGTAATGTACTAGCATTGGTTCCTTAGGACAAATGTACCATGGTAACGTATGAGGTTAACAATAGGAGAAACTGGGTGGGAGGTATGTGGGCAATCTGTACTATCTTTGCAACTTTTCTGTAAATTTAAAACTATTCTAAAATTAAAAAAATACATTTAAACTTTAAAAAGTATCATTTAGGACCATGTATCAATTTTTACAATGACATAATGTTGTTTTCATACCTAATTTCTTATTAACCTAAAGTTGAAGAAGTGAATGGCACATCAAAATGAGATTTTCTGTTTATTAAATAATGTATAAGAAAAGAGTGCTGGACAGTGCTGGAAAGGCTTATGTTTATAAAGACAGATTTACAACAACAAAAAGAAAAGATCCAGAAATAAATTTAAGAAGAAATGGATTGGCCCTTTGTAAAAACTATAAAACTTTATTGAGAAACATACAAAGACTTAAGTAAATGGACAGACATATTTTATGTTTGGATAGAAAGACTGCTGATTTAAAAATAACAATTCTCTTTAATCTATACATTTACTTTGAGCCCAATGAAAATAGCAATATGCTTTTTATAGCAAGATGGTTGTTCCTTTAAGCCCAAACTTGGCTCAAGTATAAATAGAAGAGATGAGGCAGAACTACCAGGTATTTCCCACATGCTGAGATGTCTGAACATTAAGTTTATTTCTCTGAGAACAGCCTGGATTGACATTCTTTCTAAAGTAGACAGCACCAAGCCACATGTCTCATTCCGTGCTAAGCTAAAGCCATGCCTTTTTGCTCATGACCTAGCTCCATACCGCAAAATCAACCAAAGAATTTCTATGGATCCAGTCACGGCTGAACACGAACTAACGTGTCAGGCTGAGGGTTACCCTGAGGCTGAAGTCATCTGGACAAGCAATGACCACCGAGTCCTGAGTGGCAAAACCACCATCACCAGTTCCCAGAGGGAGGAGAAGCTTTTCAATGTGACCAGCTCGCTGAGAATCAACACAACAGCTAATGAGATTTTCTACTGCATTTTCCGGAGGTTAGGTCATGAGGAAAACAGTACAGCTGAGTTGGTCATCCCAGGTAATATTCTGAATGTCTCAGTTAAAACGTGCCTTGTACTGTCCCATGGTATCTAGCCTGAGATGCCTGCTCATCGTAGGCATTCATTGTTTGTTAAATGAATGAATAACAACATTATATTTACAAAATGCATCCTGCTTCCTCACCTCCATTCAACCAAGTCATATTGCTACTTAATAAACATTCAGCAAATATTTATTGAATATGCTCTACATGCCAGGCATTGGGGGCTCATAGAAGATAAAACACAGTTAACACTCTCCAGGAAATAGATAAGAAAACAGGCAATCCCATTTCATATAGGAAATGATCTTGTGGCTGGGGGACCTAGGGGAGCACCTGAGAGGAAAGCTCAGCTCAGGCCATGTTTCAGGAATCGAAATCTGGGCACATCAGAGCTGTTTCTTTTCTTTCCATGGTTTCTGTGGCAGGAAGCAAATGGAATGTACTTTTCTGTCTTATTCCAAACAAGAGAGATCTTCCCCATCCCCTCACTCCCTGCCTCCCCCAAGGTAGTCTGTGACCTTTCAACTCAAAGCAGTCTGCTTAGTGCATAGGACATAAGGCAACTGGACATAAGTCCGTGGACAAGTGACTCGACTTCTATGTGCTTACTTTTTCTGATATAGTTATAAACTACTGGGCAATGCCATCATAGGGTTAAATTAGTTACTGTGTATGAAAATGATTTGAGATTCTTATTTTCACAGATTCAACTTTTTTTTTTTAATCTCACTCTCCTATACAAGTGGGTAAGGCAGGATGCAGAGTCTGGTGAGAGGCTCAGACCTTTAGAGAAAGTGAGACTGGTGAGCATGATGTTACTATAAACCCAGAGGTGTTCCAAGAATCACTTCTCACTACCTTTCCCCCAGTAGATATTGACAGTAAAACTTAGTACTTCAGAGAAAACGACTTAAAAAAATTGGTTTGAAAAGTCAAACAATAGGAAACAACAATCCAGGATGGACCTATGAACAAAAAAGTTTAGAAAATTAAAGAGATGCTCTTACTTGGGTATGAGTCACTTTGGCTTTGGTTGGAGCTGCACCAATTTGTTTCTGCCATCTAAAAGCTGTTTTATGACAGCTTATTTGTAAGGAGACCTAGGGTAATTCACCTAACTACTCTCAGTCTGTTTCCTCATGGGTACCCTGGAGGTTTTTTTAAATGCCTGTGTCACCTAACTCTTAAAGTTATTTTTGAGACTCAAATAAAATAGATATGAACAGGCTTTGTAAACTGCAAGCCATTAGAGAAAGGCTGACTGCTGTTGTGAGTTTAAAGCTTGAACTAGGTAGTCAGGCATCATGGCTAATGGTGGGAGGCGGCAGTTAGCTGTCTCTGAGAGTCATGTGACATAAGACTCCTTTCCTTTCTGCATGGGACTGGAGACAGAGAGACTGGTGAGAAGTGCCAGTGATTAGATGTCCTGAGCTATGCCAACTGTGGAGGAAAAAAAAGATAGCAAACAATGGTCCCCAGTCATGGCCACAGATATGGAGAAGTTGGAGCTCTTTGGCAGTGCTAGTTGGCCTTTGTGTTCCATCTTTGCCATGTACAGTCAGCTGCTAGGCTTTCTAGTAAAGAATGCAAGAAGTAAAATAATCGAGGCTACCATATAGTACTGAGCAGCCACTCCCTGTGAAAAGCACTTTATAAACATTAGTGTCACAAAAATTTCATTATCATTTCCATTTTATAGGCTGGTTAAAGGACTTGCTGGAGATCTCAAAGCTAGTGATTGGCACCAGAACTTAACCCTAGGTCCACCTGTCCAAAGCTTGAGCTGCTTCCAATTTTCCATGCTGCTCCTATTTTTGTATCTGAGGTATCTCAGCACTCCAACCACTCACTGGCCAGGAACTTTCAGTATTTAAGAAAATTAACCTAAATTAAACTTCAAAGATGATTGTTCTCTTGGCCTATTCCCAAGAAGATTTTATCTTTTTATCAATTTCTTTTTCCTTTGTTTTATTTTTCAGAGCCATATGTGGATCCAGCAAAAAAGAGGACTCACTTGGTGGTTCTGGGAGCTGCCCTGTTGGTCCTTGGTGTAATCCTGACAGTCATCTTCTGTCTAAAAAGAGATGGTATTTCCTTTATTGCGTTAGTCTCCACTGGGGGTTGTGGAGAAATGTATGAGGGTGGTACTGTTTTCACAATGTCACTTAGTAGGCAGAGCCAGGAATGCTAGATCTGCTGATACATGCAAGACAATCCCATGTAATAAGGAATTGCCCTACCCAACATGCTAGGGGTGCCTCCAGCAGGAAATGGTGATTTATTCAATGCCTACCTTTTAACCTTCCCTTCCAGAGCCAACTTTTAATTATGCAAAGTAGGTTTTACCTATACCACCACACAAACCTGTGTGTCATCTCTTCCTCCAGTCCTGCTTGTTTTGCTGTTCTGCAGCATCACCCACATTGGAGGGTGACAGTGAATATTGTAGTAACATTTCCAAGGGAGTTAGAGTTGGATCATGACTGCAAGCAAAGCTGACTTGCCTCTCTGCAAGGTGGTGCACAGACATTCCACTGTTTCATAGCAGTTGTAGTGAAGCTGTGCATGATTGCTGGGTGAAGATCATGAGTACAGGGGTGAGGGGTGAGAGAAAAGGTGTGTGTGGAGGTTGTCATACAGTTTCTTTCTGTCATGCAAATAACCACAGACTTACAGGAGAGAAAAAGCTAAAAAGCTTGTTGATTTCAGTTAAATTTGTCTTGCGTGAGTTGCACTGTTATACTGAGCTGGTTTCAGGGAGCTTTAAGTAATAAACATAGTTCATTATGTAGAGTAGTGATACTTTTACTGTAGAGTATTTTGCAAGATTTCTGCCTAAGGGTATTATATGCTTTTTAAGATAATTTTCATGTGTGTTTTCTATTTACCTAAGGGACCAATTAAAATTAAGGAAAATGCGTCCATTCAAATAATTTCCTCTCATTTTAATATGATTCAGATCAAACATTTCCCTAATACTTTGAGAAGTACACCAAAGGAGCCAATGATGATCTGTGTACAGAGTTATCTGATGTCAAATAGGGAAGTGAAAAATGGAAGGGAATTCCAGGAGTCATTGAGAAATTCCCTACAACCCCTTAAGAGGGTGGGTAGATCTGGGAAGTGGTGTAATTGAGGGAGTGGAGGTCAGCTTCTTCTAAAGAAGGAGTACTTAACACAACTGAGACAGTTGGGCAGAATATAAGGATCAAGTTTCAGTGACAGGAAGATCCTGAGATAGAATTGATTTGTTCAAGGAGGTTGCTGTTGCCAACTTGCATTTCCATGTGAAAAATAATTAGTTGGCATTAGGAAGGGTTAGGAAATCAGTGTATAATAAAGTATCTCAGGATATGGTCCATCTTTGGGGTAGGGTTGGAAAATAAAAGTATATACACCTGAAGAAAATCTAGGAACAAAAGCATGTGCCCTAAACTGTTGAATTAACCTCAGAGGTTGGGACCCATGGAATAAGGAAGTCTACCAGATTTCCTAAGGGATTAAAAATGTTTCATAAGGACATGGGATTTAAACTTGAGTCACTGTGTGGGATGTAGAGTTGTGATATGTGGAAATAAAAATAACTTTTCTTTTTTCAAGTGAGAATGATGGATGTGGAAAAATGTGTCACCCGAGATACAAACTCAAGGAAACAAAATGGTAAGAATTTAGCGGGGATCAGAAGTTGAAGGAAAAGGAAACCAAAAGTTAAAGTAATAACAAGGAGAAAGTTATCAGCCTTACTCTCCCCTCACTTTACATAATGCTGACTGTTGGAACTACTGGCTCCTCTTTGCCTCCCTACTCAAGAACTATTCCCACAGTCTAAGATTTAGGGATGGCCTTTTGGGGAGGTGAGGGAAGGAGGCAGCTTCTCTCTGCTAAGTCTCTGTTGCTCTGCATCCTAACATCTCCCTGTAATAAGGGGACGAAGTTGATTTATGTGGATGGGTGATGATAGACAAATAGGTAGGTAGGTAGATAGATAGATAAATAGGTAAAACTTGTGTATCAGGCACTATATTAACTGCTTCATGTGCATTACCTCATTTAATCTCCCCCTTCCATAAAATTAAAGAGATATATACTACAATTACCCCATTTTATAGGAGAGAAAGCAGAGGGTCAAGAAGATAATATAAATTGCCCAAGAACACAAATCTAACAAAAATCAGACTTTGGGGCCCACTAGCCTGATCACAGAACCTTACTCTTAACCTATTCACTTAAATCCATTTTACCACAAATGTCTACATTTACAAAAGATCAACGAAGACCTCACTGAGATGATTGAACTGGGAAGAAAGTTATAGTAAGAGTTCTAATTCTTTTTTAAAAATGTAATTAGAAACCAAACTTCACAACGAGCCCAAGTTTAAAGTCTGATTATCTTGGACAAGTCCAAGCAGGTTTCATTATGTGGCCCATGGCACTCATTTGTGTTGTAAAGCTAATGAGTGGATGTTGTTTGGAGCATCCTAGGGTGACCAACCATCCCAATTTGCCCAGGACTAAGGGTTTTCTCAGGACATAGGAATTCAAGTTTTACAACCAGGATAGTTCCTGACAAACCAGGATGGTTGGTTACACTTTATCATGGAAAGGGAATTAGGCATAAATATAACCTGTTTCTTTCTCTTATTGCAAGTTTATTGTATCATCTAGCAAATATAACTTAAGTTTCTCATTATCGCTCTCCAGATCCCCAGTTTGAGGAGACGTAATCCAGCATTGAAGCTTCTGATCTTAAAGAGGGGTTCTTAGCCTGTCGTTTGAGTTCGTCAGGGCTGAGCATGACCAGAGACATGAAGTAGGCAGATGATGTAGAACTTAAAAGGCCCAGTCTCTGAAAATGGAAGCTGGGAAAGAAGAGGAGGAGAACAAAGGGTGGCCTGCAAGGAAACCTTGGTACTTCAAAATGACTCATCAACGCATATGGAAAGGAGGAAGGACGCGTCTGCATGATAAGCCTCCGCGTACAAACTGTCCATCACTCATCCTAGGAAAACAGGTTGAGATTCCCTGAATTAATGGTCAGTTCCTGCAGAAGGGCCCTTTGCCTTCACTTAATATTTTGTGTTGTCTTCTGGGTGATTGTGAGTCCTGATGTTGCAACACTATTTAAGTATGAGTTATTTCTATTTATTTTGAGTCTGTGTGGTCTTGTCATGTGAGTGTGGGTGACTTCTTTTGAAGATATACTGTAGCCTAAGTTAAATCTTGTTACCAAACCAAACTTACTGATTATAGAATTGTGTGAGTCCAGTAGAATATATACTATTTGTGAAGTGCTTGATATACTTTATAACTATCAGCATATTGGAAGTATAGATAATGAACCACTTGTTTGCATAGGATATTACTTTATATAACCCACTGATACTTGGATTGACTTGAATAATCTTATTCTCAGACCTCAGAATAAGATGTTACCAAAATAGCTGTTACATTTAATTATCAGCTTTACAACTATGTATACACATAGTCTCATTTCATCCCTGTTACAAGGGTGTTGTGGTAAGCACGATTATTATACCCATTTTGCAGCTGAGGGAGCAGAGAGATAAAGTAACTTGCCCAAGACAATAAATAGCAGACCTCAGATTTTCAAGACTGTCACCCACTGTCCTTTTAGAATAAAATTTACAGATGTGTTTTATTTTAAGAAATTAATTCATTCAACAAACATTTAGGTAGTGCCTTAGCATGTCAGTCACCCTGCCAGGCAGAGAGTCTACAGATGTGAGCAAGATAAAGCATCTCTCCTCAAGGAGCACGTAGTATAATGGGGACATCAATAAGGAAATGTAGCATGTGTCGTGGCTCCTGCCTGGCCTGGCTCGGGGGCGTGCTGGCTGGGGAGGGGGCCCAGAGCGAGGTTGCCGTGCCTGTCGATCCTGCCCCACCCCTCTCCCTCCCTCCTCTTTCACCTCCGAGGCCAGGAGGGAGGGAGCGGTGTGCCCGCTAGCTGAGCCGCCAGTCCGACCCTCTGTTCTGCTGTGTGAGGAGCCAGCTGAGTGAAGCTCTGCCCGGAGATATAAGGGAAAAAAAAGTATTACTTCAGTGTAGTGCAGTATCATAGCATAAAGTAGTGGAGGAGAATGATGGTGTGAGGAGGAAAGTCTAGAATGCTGCCAGAGGAGGGGATGCTCTGGGTGGCCAGCCAGTGTGTTCCTGGACATTTGAAAATATTTAAACATTTCACTAATCAAAGCAGTTTTAATTTATGAGAAGTCAACATTTTTTAAAATTGTGGAAAACAGCTCCTGAATTCATTTTCTATCGTTATATTTATCCCTGATTTGCTTGCCTTTGTCATGCAATTTGATGCTTATTTATATACTGTCCGGAATTGTTTAGTTTTCTTTTTATTTAAATACAATTGAATTTTGAATTCATACTTTTTCATGATTTAAAATTCAAAAAGTCCAATAAGACTTCATTCCATCCTCTTACTCATTTGGTTTCCCATTCCAGAAGAAACCATTCTTGTCTTTTGTCTTTTAAAGATATTCTATGAATATATGTGGAAATATTTGTAAAATGTATATACATTGTTAGTTTTTTGCTCTTTTTCATATAAGTGGTAATACATTATGCATCTACTGTGCACTTTCCTATTTTTATTTAATATACTACTTCTTATGTAACAGACAGAACAAATTTGAAGTTCCCAGGGGCTGAGCACTATGTCTTGTTTGTTTCTAAGTCATCTTTTCCATAGCCTCTTAGTATCTCTCATACAACTTGGTATATGCTAAATAGTTGCTATATCTGCATTTAGACGATCAACATTTGTTGAGTACTTGTTCTGTGACTAAGTTTGAATTTGGTTCATTTTGTGTTTCTTAAGGAGAGAGTGTTTCTCAAAATGAGTTTTCCAGGGTACAGTGAGGTCAAACTAGCCCTAAAGGATGTCTTTATTGTTAACTCTGTATGATAGAATCCTGTCTGGAACTTGTTTTTTCTACTTTCTCTTGAGTTTTAGCTTGACTTTGATGTTGCACTTGCAAACTTATATGTTCTTTTGGGGAAATTTTAGTATGGGTACCTTGATCTTAGACCCTCATTTGTGCCAGAAAAGGCCCATGAGCTATGCCTGAACCCTTGCGTTCCACCAGTTCTCACCACTACACAGGCGTCCTGAAACATTGCTTTCCAAAGGTTCAGATGCCCTCTCAGGAGGTTCCAGACTATTTCTTCCCTCTTAGCCATCTACCTGACAAGGGAAACCTTCTTCGCTTTGCCTCATATCAAGGCTGAAGAAACAGAATCTCTAGCAGAATTCCTTCTGTTATCTTTTTTGTACATGTTTATGTGTACAATATCTGTTGTTTATGTGACAAGACCCTTTGTGTGAAGTACAAGCGAGGATTCTGGTTCAGCAAGATGTAAAGTCTATTTACTTCATTCCCAAATCTTAATGCCTTCTTGTGGTGTTGGATTTGCAAGGCACTTTATCCCTTTGTCTTATTTCATTGTCAGTGGCATAGGCAGAGATGATACCTAATTCTGCATTTGTCACTATTTATGCCTTCACTAATTTAATAAAATATTCTTATTTATTTTGCTCCTCAATGAACCCACATGTCCATTTTCTTATTTTCTACATGTTTTATAAAACCATTCCCAGGTTAACATCCCAGTGGAGACAGTTACTTGGAAAATCTTCAGCCACCTTCTTAGGTCTCTTTTTCATAGCTTCTGTGTTTACTCAGCATACTCTTGAATCTTGTGTGATTAAAAATATCAAAATAATTTTTTAAAGGATTGAAAATTTTCATCCTCTCTCACTCAATAACTTCCTTTGGGACAATACCAAGAAAAGAGTAAAAATTGTGTCATCCAAATTGAAGATCTGAAGGAAGGGAGATGGAGAGGAGTGGTCTTTAAGAGAACTATAGGGAAATGAACGGGCTTTCCTTTACAAGAGTAATCTCAGATCAGTAGACGTAGATATGCAAGGCTGTGCATATGAAGCTGGGTATATTTCAGTCATCAGTTTCTGAAAAGAAAGTGAGAAACTTAGAAGTCAAGTTGAGGATTAAGACCTGGTACAGGTAGGACTCTAAGAAGATTTAATGTGTCAGCTAACTTAATTACTTAGTCATCAAGGTTACTTTAAAGAAACTTTTAATCCTTTCTCTGAACTAAACACTATCAAAAAATGATGACTGTTTCTAAGAATATGTCAGATTCTAGGTGGTTCTAAAGAAAGAGTATTAGTATCTTTATAGAAATAATATTTATGCCACTGCTAGAAATCAAAGCAATAAAAATGTGTGGTGGGCATTAGGATGTTTCACCTTTCTGACCAGTCCTCCTGGCTGGTTTTTAGTAGTCATGGTTCTGTATGGAATTTTGTGACTTTGGGGGAGGGGGTCCATATTAAAGGAAAGTTAGCCTGAAAATGAACCATAAGCTTTCATTAAGCTTTTCCTCCAATCCATTTTACAAGCATGTGATTATCTGCCATAAGTGGGCCAAATATATTTTTATCTAAATATTTTAGAAAACTTATAGATTACTACCATTTTAAAACTCAGAATTCAAAATTAGCTTTTTCACTATAGATATCTCTGACCAAATTTGTGAAGACAGATACATTCTGGTTTTGTAATTTTTCCCCACTCCAGGCCTCCAAAGTTTCAAGGAAATTAATAATACAAACCAAATTACTCCATTATTATTTAAATATTTCCAGAATTATTTATATTTTTAGAGGTTTGACCAAACTGAACTGTTAGTGGTGGAGTTTTATCATTAGCAATTATGATAATTACCATTTATTGAGCATGTACTCTATGCCAGGCACTGGGATTACACACATTATCTCATTTAATGCCATGGGCTGGCAATGAGGCATGCCGAAAAAGGGCATCACATTTACCTGAAGAGCTACCAAATCAGGATAGTTAAGGAAAACTGGAGCATTAAAAAGGCAAAAATAAATAACTGCATAATTACAGTGATATAATGGGAAGCTTTATTTAAAAAAAAAGTTTTTATTATAATTCTTGCTGCTTATTTACTTTAATATTTTTCCTCAACAGAAAAATATACAATGGCCATTTAAATGTTATGTGTATAAAACCATGATGTTAATTTTGTATGGAGAGTAAGTGGCCAAACATTGGCTGAAGTATACACTTCCCAGTTTCTTATTCTTGTGAAGCTATTGTATTTTGGCTCCATCTTCCACCAATTTATGATCTGACTGCAGATTCTATAGTAGAAAAATATAGTTGGATGGGTAGGAAGTTCGAAATATCCATTTCCATTCAAGAAAACATTACTGGTAAATAAATCCCTGACCTCCTCCTTCCAGTCAATGCGACCTCTCTAGGGAGATCTCTTTTGGTAGAAAATAAGAATGGCTAATCCTGTCTTACCAAGGAGAGAATCAGTCTGGGGAGATGGGCAGCAGCATGGAGTGTGGAGTGAAATCTCACTTATGACTCCAGGATTCAATTCCTACTCAGACCTTTTCAGCCCAGGTGGCAAACCAGGAAATGAACCTGACGGGGAGGGGAGGTCGAAAATGTTAAGACCCTAGGGCTTGCAGCAGAGACACCTACTACAAAGATAGACCTGAGGAAATAGGCAGCAGCATCCTGGTTGAAGGGGAGGTAAAGGGAGGTGAAGATGTACCCAGTCTCTAAACTTGCATAATCTCTAGGCTGGAGACGAGCCAAAGGATCTGAGGATGACTACAATGGTGGCAAAACTGAGTTAGGACAGTGTTCCAGTGCCTCCATTTTGGGGCAGGAAAATTCTCAAGATAAGACGTAAAGGGTTTGCCATAATGTTTTATGGCAGGACTGTATTATATCTCAACGTATTAATAAGATTTTTCTCTGTGTATTTCCCTCCACCTCTTCCTCCCTCTTTGTAGCCTGAGGGTCAGTTTTCCTCCCCCGTCCCATGCCAAAGCTGAGACAAAGAAAGTACCATGCTAATACCTGAAATTCCACTCCCATTTCCCACAGTTTCATTGCAAACATCTCAGTGGGTCCCAGTGCTCATTGGGCATCTTCTACATGTCAGGCATTTACAGGGCATTGTCGGGGAGTCAGAGATATTTAATGTGGCTCATGCCCTTGTGGAGCTTCCATCTAACTGAGGAGACAATACATACATTCAGGAAGAATCAAGTAATAAGTCAAGTTTTAGAGAAGATGAGACTTCTAAAAAATCAAGACAGAAGAGAGGACAGCAAATGCTGTGAAGTACAGAAAAGAGGAAATAGTAGGGACTAAAATGCCTTCACTAAGGAAGCCAGATTCAACTCAGACCCTGAAGAATGGAGAGGATTCCTACCTCGGATGGTGTGTGTGTTAGTCCATTTGGGCTGCTATATCAAAATACCACAGACTGGTGGATTATAAACAAAATTTATTTCTCATCTTTCTGGAGACTGGAAAGTCCAAGATCAAGGCGCCAGAGTGGTTGTGTTGGGGTCAGGACCCTCTTCCTGGTTCACAGCTGGCATTTTCTTGCTATGGCTTCATATGGTGGAAGGAGCAAGGGATCTCTGTGGAGTCCCTTTCGTAAAAAGACTAATCCCATTCATGAGAGCTCCACTCTCATAACAAGCACCTCCCAACAGCCCCATCATTCTAATACCATCATCTCTGATGGTTAGGATTTCAACATGTGAATTTAGGAGTGGTGATACCAACATTCAGACAATAGCAGTATGGAAAGCAGCTTCTTTTCTTTTCATACAGGATAAACTTAACTATCGAAGAAAATCTGTGATCCCTTACATTTACTTGATACAACTCCTGAAAAAAATAATTTGGCAGTATCAATCAAATTGTAAATGACCCAGAAATTCCATGTGCAAAAATTTACCCTACAGCTATACTCTCATATGTGCAAAATGACATATGTATAAGGATATTTATTGCAGCTTTATAACAGCAAAACACTGGAAACAACCCAAATGTCCATCAAAAGGGAACTGATTAGATAAATGTGGTGGCACATCCAAAAAACAGAATACTGTATTAGACAGCCACATCAACAAACAAGGAAGTT